CTCTCTCTCTCTCTCTCTCTCTCTCGCTCCGACCCTCTCTCTCCCTCGCTCTCACTGCCAAGCCTTCCTTCCTTGCTACCAACCACATCCCCTCATACGACTGACAACAAAGCTCGATCACCGCCACTCCACCTCGCTCGAACTTGCGCTCGCGCTCGCGCTCACCCACCATCCCTTGCTGTCGACGCCCGTGGATGGCCATTCCAATCGGCGGCCCAGCTCGATAGCCCTGCTGTGACACGGCTACCAGTGCGTAGTGCATGGCGACCTCCCAGCCGTACAGCGCTTCCGGATCTCGCACCCGTCACCCATCCCGCAGCCTCCTCCCCATCGCGCAAGACAGCCAGGAGCACATCCCGCTCCAGCCACTACGTCCTTCCACCACCTCGCGGCCACACCCTGCGCATACACTCTCACAGCTACACCAACGCATACACCACCACCTCCTCCACAATCCCACCATGAAGTTCTCACACAGCATCCAATTCAACGCCGTGCCCGACTGGGCCGACAAGTACATCGCCTACTCAAACCTCAAAAAGACCATCTATCTCATGGAGAAGGAGCTCCCCTCCGCTCCCAACGCCGCCTACTCGGACGTCGAAAACGAATCGTCCGGCCTGCTTCAGGATGCGCAGAGCACAGAGACCGACCGCGCCTTCGTGCCGCTCCTCGACAAGGAACTCTCCAAGATCGTCGACTTCTACCTCGCAAAGGACGCCGAGCTGCGCGCCGACCTGCACAACCTCAAGGACGACCTCGAGCGCGTAGAGAGCGAGGACTTTGACGACGACTCCGACTTTGCCAGGAGCGACGACGAGGACGACGACGACGACCTCATCGACACCGTACGCACCGCCAAGGTCAGCGCCGAGCGTCGCCCCAGCATCGACGACGTCTTTACGCAGCCGCGCAAGTACAACGAGGCCTCGCGTCAGCAGCAGCGCATGCGCGAAGGCGGGCCCTCGCGCTCCCGCAAGGACAGCCGTGCCACCCTTGACGAGGCTGCTGCTGGCGGGGCCCCAACACGCCCGCCCAACAATCGCAACCGCTCCAGCACCCTCCTCGACCACTCGGCCGACCTCTCCGAACAAGGCGACACCTCGGGCTTTGCCAAGCGCACGCGCAGCAGCTCCAACGCCAGCCAGTCCGGCTCCAAGGCGCGCTGGGCCAGCATCTTTGGCAAGAAGCCCGTGCGTCGTCGCTCGCTCGGCATCGTGCTTGCCGGCGGCGGCGGCGGCGGCGGCGGCGCAGCAGACGATCCGTCCAACAGCCACGATCGCCTCGTCCCCGCCTCGAGCGACGCCGGCGACAGCAGCTTTGGCGGCGACGCCAAGAGCATGTCCATCTGGACCGCCGACAATGACTACGCCATCGACATGCGCATCACCTTCAAGAAGCGCATCACCGACCTCTTTGTCGCCATGTCCGAGCTGCGCCAATTCGTCCAGCTCAACGAGACGGGCATGCGCAAGATCCTCAAAAAGTACGACAAGATCACAAAGTCCGACCTCAAGGAGCGCTACATGAACGACAGCCTGCGCGCCCAGCCGCCCTTTACCGCCGACGCCAAGCGTGGGCTCGACGAGTGCATCGACACGCTCATCCAGCTCTTTGCCAAGGTGGTCACGGCCGGCGACGTGGGCGCGGCGGCGCAGCAGCTCAAGACGCATCTGCGCGAGCAGGTCGTGTGGCAGCGCAACACCGTGTGGCGCGAGATGATCGGCATCGAGCGGCGTGCGCAGGGTGCGGCGCTCGAAAGAACCGTCATGGGTTCCAGCAAGCAGCACGACTTGGAGCCCAGCAAGCCCTTCCGCCTGCGCACGCCGTGCGGCAGCTTCACCGTGCCCGGCTGGTTGAGCATGAGCACGCTGCATCTGCTCATCGCCTTCACCGCCCTCGTGGCGCTGCTCAAGGCACCCGGTCTGCGCTTCTTCAACCGCGTCGAGGAGCAGAACTGTCTGGCGATGCTCGTCTTCTGCACCATCCTGTGGGCGACCGAGGTGATCCCGCTCTTCGTCACCTCGCTGATGGTGCCGCTGCTCGTGGTCACGCTGCGCGTCGCACGCACCGACGACGTCAAGGACCGCCGCATGACGGCGCCCGAGACCACAAAGTGGATCTTCTCGCAGATGTTTGCGCCCAACATGTGCCTGCTGCTCGGCGGCTTCACGCTCGCTGCGGCGCTGTCCAAGTATGGCATCGACAAGATTCTGGCCACCAAGATCCTGCGGTTGGCCGGTACGAGGCCGAGCGTGGTGCTGCTGGCGCACATGGGCGTGGCGTGCTTTGCGTCCATGTGGATCAGCAACGTGGCTGCACCCGTGCTCATGTATTCGCTCATCCAGCCCATCCTGCGTACGCTGCCGAGCAAGTCGCCGTACGCCTCGAGCCTCATCATGGGCATTGCGCTTGCGTCGAACATCGGCGGACAGACCTCGCCCATCGCTTCGCCGCAGAACCTGATTGCGCTGCAGTACATGAAGCAACCCGTGGGGTGGCTGCAGTGGTTTGCCGTCACCATCCCCGTGTCCGGCCTGTCGCTGGTGGTCATCTGGCTGATCCTGCTGTGGAGCTATGGTGCGGGGAGGGGCACGGTGATCAAGAAGCTCGGCGAGAGCAGGGATTCGTTCACCAAGATCCAGTGGTTCATCTCGGCCGTCGCCGTGTCGACGATCGTGCTGTGGTGTTTGGAGAAGAACTTCGAGTGGATCGTCGGCGACATGGGCATCATTGCCATCGTTCCCATGGTGCTCTTCTTTGGCACGGGCATCCTCACCAAGGAGGACTTCAACACGTTCCTCTGGACCGTCGTCTTCCTTGCCATGGGCGGTATTGCGCTCGGCAAGGCAGTCACATCGTCGGGACTGCTCGAGTCGCTCGATGACCTCATCCAGGAGATCGTCAAGGAGCTTCCGCTGTGGCAGATCATCGTCGCCCTGCTCGGTATCGGTCTGGTGGTGGCTACGTTTATCAGCCACACCATCGCTGCGGTCCTGCTCGTGCCCATTGCGGCCCAGGTCGGCGAGAGCCTCGACACGCCGCATCCACGACTGCTCATCATGGCTACGACGCTGGTGGCGTCGGCAGCGATGGGTCTGCCCGTCAGTGGATATCCGAACCAAATCGCCGTTTCCATGGAGGACGATCTCGGTGACCGTTATGTCTCCGTCAAGGACTTCCTCAAGGTCGGCGTCTTGGCCTCGGTCGTGGCCACGCTCATCGTAGGCACGATTGGCGTGGTCATCATGTACGCGCTCCAATTCTAGACTCTCTCCATTCCCTCAGCAGCAAATCCACTCTCGCACTTGTTTCCTTGGTGACGATCTCGAGTCGTGAGCGAAGCAGTGTAAGTCTTGTGCTGGATGAGAATTGGCTACATTGCAAGACAGGACGTGGTGGAACAAGAGAGAGGCAGATTGGGGGGAAGGAGTTATTCGAGGTCTTCGGGAGCGACATGTTCGTTGCCCGTGTCGATGACGGCCTTACTCGGTCTCCAGACCATGACGATATTGTCCTCGGCCGCCGTGGTAAGGGCCCATTCGAGATGGGGGCTCCAGCCGAGATCGGTTGGTCGGCTGGTATGCCCACCGTGCACAAAGACCAATTCGGGCGGACCGTCTTCTGCATCCTCGGGCGTCTGTTCCTGACCGATCTTGCTGAGGTCCCAGATGTTGACCCTTCGATCGGCACTTGCGCTCGCCAGCACGGTCGGATTATGCGGGCTCCAGCACGCAGAGAGGATCTCGTCGGTATGCGCCTCGAGCGAGTGCAGCTTCACCTTGAGGTTGCGCAGATCCCACACACCCAGCGTCTTGTCCGACGATCCCGTCACGAGGATGTTTTCGTTGTCCGGGCTGAACGCGAGCGTGTTGACCTCGCCCGCGTGCGCCTCGACGCGGTACTTGGGTGCGGTCGGTGCCTCGCGAACATCCCAGATGAGCAGCTGACGATCATCGCCCACCGAACCGAACAGCGACTCGTGGTGGTTGTGCCACGCCACATCCTCGACAATCGCCGTGTGCCCCGTGTACGTCGCCACGGGCTGCAGCGTGTTGTTGCCCTTGGTGTACTGGTTGATATCCCAGTGGCACACTGTAGTGTCTTCACTAGCCGCCAAGATGTGGCCCTGCTTCAGCGGCGACCAGCTCAAGCCATACCCTTCCGCCGTCTGGCCCTCGAGCTCAATATCGGGCCGACAAACTCCATCGGCCGAGGGCGTGTTGGAGTGCTTGGTGCGGTCAAAGACGTACGTCTTTCCCGTGACGGTGCGCGTGGCGATCAGGTCGCAGTTCTGCGGACAGTATCTCGCGCGGTTGATCTCGCCGTCGTGGTTGATCTTCTGGACGATGGTGAGGCGCGCCGTGGTGGCCGAGTAGCTGCCGATCTCGCCCTTGTCCTCGTCGTACTGCTTGAGGTCGAGCCGCGACTCGGCGGCGTTCGACGGTCCGTCGGCGCCCGTGGTGGGCAGCTGCACCTGAGCGATCTGCAGGTAGTTCTGGTCCTGCTCGGACGTGTGCGTGCCCAGCAGCAGCCGGTGCTGCGTGTACGACTGCCCCGCCGGCGTCTCCTTGTCCGGGAACCACTGGCACGTGAGCGACGGCCACTCGAGCGCATGCGTCACCACGAGATCATACAGGAAGGGCGAGTTCTTCTTCCAGATCTTGTACTCTTCGTTCGACAGCTTCTGCTGCGCGATGGCCGCCTCATCGTCGACGAGATCCGACGCGTCCATGGTGGGCAGAAGGTAGATGCGCAGACGCAGGAGTGGTGGTGGTAGGCAGCGACGACGAGGATGAGGTGAAGGTATGGTCGAGACCTGGGGCGCGGAAAGCGGGTGCTGCTCCCCCCTCTCTCTCACATACATTCTCACACACACTCTCTCTCTCTACTCTTCCAGCCCCAGCCGCACCTTGACAAAGTAACAGAGAGCCGGCCAGTCTCGCCCGACGCGCGAAGCGTCTGCAGGACCGCCTCGACCTGTCGACGCGCCTTTCGTCGTCCACTCGTCCGAGTGCGCTCGGTCCGCACCCAGGGCGACCGCGTCGCGTTGAGTGGGTCACCACGCTTTAACATATTGTAGCTCGTGCCGCTTCCACCGCCTTCCGCTCCAATGACCGCGTCCGTGCGTCAACTTCGTCACGGCAAACGTCGAGGAATTTCGCAAAAACGTGCGCCGTGCAGGAAGAAAAAAAACCCCCCCCAGCTCCCGCCACCGAAAGCAGGCGCTCGGCACGACATCAGTGTGCGCACAGACATTCTGGAAGAACTTCCACTTTTTTTCTCCTGAGGATTTTTTTAGAGCTCCCACTCCACCAAGGTCAACAAATTTTCGACAGCGCTTTGGTGCAGCTCCGCACCGCAGCACACCGGACCGTTCAGTGGCAAAGGCGATACGCAGCACAGACACGGATCGCCGGGAAGAATGTCGTTGTGCGTAGCTGCACCCTAGATTTTTTTCCCCTTGGTCTTTGCGGACCGTGGCAGGAATGGATGGATGCCGCAACAGCCGTCTGTACTTCTTAAGGCCCCCGGTCTTTCACCAACTCCTTCCTCCGACCCATCATCCCGCCTAGGACGCATACCCACCCTTCCTCCATACCCACACGCCCATTTCCAAAAAATGACCGACGCTTACCGCCAGCCCGAGCCCAAGACCTTCCCTGACGCTCTTCAGCAGAAGGTCGACACGCTCGTCGAGGACTTCCGCAAGGCCGACGCCGAGCTGATCAAGCACGAGCTCAAGCTGCAAGCCCCGCTCTACAAGAAGCGCGCCGAGATCGTGTCTTCCGTCAAGGACTTCTGGTTCCAGGCTCTGATCAACTGCATGGCGACCAACGTGTACATTGACGATGCCGACCACGAGGCGCTCTCGTACCTCTCCAACGTGGACGTCGAGCGCGACCTCAACGACCCTCGTGCTGCCACCATCACCTTCTCGTTCCGCGAGAACCCGTTCTTCTCGAACGACAAGCTCGTCAAGAAGTTCAGCCTGGTCGACGGCGCCGACTCGCTGGAGGACGAGTTCAACTTCCTCGAGCAGACCACGCCCGAGAAGACGCAGATCGACTGGAAGTCGGACGACAAGAACCTGTGCAAGCTCAAGCCCACCGTCGGCGGCCCCGACTCGGACGACTTTGAGCCCGGCTCGTTCTTCTCCACCTTCTTCGAGAACACCGACCAGGAGATCGCCGGCGGCATCGGCCACGCCATCATCATGGACTTCTGGCCCGGCGCCATCGACTTCTACACCGGCGCCGACGACCTCGACTTTGACGAGGACGACTTCGACTCCGAGGACGACGAGGAGGACGAGGACGACGCAGAGATCGACCTCGAGGACGACGACCAGCCCCCCAAGAAGAAGTCCAAGGCTGACGCATAAGGCGCTCGCTCTGCTGGATTCCTTCGTCTTGTTCTTCGCTACCCCTGATCCCGGTCCTCTCTGTATTCCTCGCTTTCCACGCATTCCTATGACTTGCTAGTATCACTCCTTGACTGCTACTGCTTTTGCTTCATTCTTAGATCAGCCGCTCTCCGTTCTCGCAGAGGTCTTCGACAAGTGTGTCGCACTTTCTTGATCGACGTCCGTGCCTCGGACTGTCTTTCGATGTACCAATACCAAATCTTTGCCCTTCCAACCGTGCAGGCGTGTTCGCCGGACCGAGTGAGTATGAGCTGGGAGCGCCTTGTTGAGTAAGAATCGGACCGGACCCGATCGAGCATGGAGGTGAACGTCCGATCCGATCGCAAGGCGCTCTGCCGTCCGAGCCACTGTCCGCCAACGGCTGACTTCGGAGGCGTCTCGACAAGGCTGTTGCTCAGGGTTCAAAGGGATGGCGAGGGCGCAGAGCTTTGTGGCGCCCCGCTGGAGTCTGGGCTGCCAGTGCAGCGCGGACTCTAGTACGCCACCGCTCACGGCCAACGCTTGTCTTGTCTCGCCAACGCAGCCCCAACGCCGCGTCTAGACGTGCGAATGCCTTTCCGCCAGTGGCGAGCATGATCGGCAGGCACTAGGCGAGAACCCCTACCGGCGCCGGGCGCAGATCCCCCACTAAACCCTTGACTCTCTACAACATGTTCCTGATCACCCACATCCCAACGTCTGTGCATAGGATAGCGCGTTTATAAGGCGAGCGTGGCGGGGCAATTGTAGCTCCGCCACTTGTTGAGACTGGTGCACGGGCTCCCCGTGTCGATCGTTGGGAAGAGCCTCACCGCCACCCAGCACCTCTCTCGCGCGCGCCCAATTCAGGCTCCGGTTGGGCAACGGCAGCTACTCTACGCGAGGTCTCATTTCAACGCGCCCAGATCCACGGTCCACCCAGTCCGTCCTTTGGCATTACGGCAGCCGAGCCTTGCGGCGTTGGACCCGTCTCGGAGCCAAGCAACAAAGTTTGGGCTGCAATGCGACGAAGTGTCGAGATATCGTTTTTTTTCTTGCCCCGCAAAAAGAGCGGAGCCGCCGCTTGGCGGATTGTCACCAGCCCGGTCGCGCGCGCTGATTGGCCGTCGATACAATCTTGCGGTCTTGCTGCCCTTGCCTAGGGCGTTGTGAAAGTCGCAACGACGACTGTGTACGAATAATTGGCCCGCCTGCGCAAATGTTTGGCCGACACGATGATCCCTTTTCAGGTCGTCGAATGTCCATCCTAAGCGACGCTCTTGCGCCTTGTCGCGCGTCTGTGGGGGGGAGGGGGGGCTATACGCGAAGACCAGCAGGACGAGAGGATGCAGGTGTACGCCGACTGGTGATCCGCAAGTTCGCGTCTGCACGCCGCGGTGCTGCCGCATCGAGCCATGTTGCCCTCGTTGCTCGTGCATCCCACGCTAGAAGCCAGGCACGCTCTTGCAGTCCCAGCGCTGTCGTCATGACGGTTGACGACGGCTCAGCTACTGCAGCCAAGGGCAGGCGAAGGTGGAAAAACAAATTTAGCTTCACAGCAGCCAGACTAAAAGAAGAGCCGAGCAGATCACCACGGGAGAGTGCATTCGCGAGTGCACTTGGGGCTCCAAGCGAGGCCCCGATTTGCACCCACGCTTGACTGCGCTCCGAGCGACCAAGAGTCAAGCGCCTGAGTGGACGCGTTTCTTGCGGCATGACGGGCGGGGCTGAACAGACTACACAGGCTGAATAGGCTGAACCGGAGCTAGCCGCGGCTGGACAAACAGAGGCGGCGAGTATGTTATGGTCTCGCGTCGGCTGCGCCCTGCAGAGAGAAAGCTGGGCAGAGAACCGCATGCGATGGAGCCTCGAACCCCAGGGGAAAAGAAGCAGTCAAAAGGGAAAAGAGAGTTTGCAATTCGCACACGCTGCTCTGAGCGGTCAAGTTGGGGAGACGGTGGGATCGGCTCCGCCCGTCATTGCGGGGTTGAAAAGGCGGATTTTTTCGGGGTTTTTGGCGACCAAAAAAAAAAAAAAGAGGGACTCCTCCTTCCTGTCGAGCGTCGATCCCCCAACCAAGAAGTCAAACCTGACAACCCGGCGGGGTAATTCCGCGCTTGGCTTGGGATTGGTTCCCACCACGATGCTGGTAAGCTCGGCCAATCGATCGGAACTCCCACCACCTTCAACCATTGTAGGCCAGCTTCCGATGGTGGATGCGCATTGACTGGTCACCTTTGCCGGCTCGACCGACTGGCTCTCTGCGGCCAATCCAGTCAAAGCTGCGAGATGGAGTGGCTTGCGATGCCAGGCCAGGCAGGCGGTTGCACTGTAGCCGCTGGGCTGGGTTTCAGCGAGGCGCATAGCCGAGCCTGCAGTGTTTTTGCTAAGATTTCATCCTCCGCTCCACCTTGCTTGCGCCCTGGCCTCGCCGCACACGCAGGCAGACGCAGGCAGAAGCACGCAGCCAGGAGAGTGTCTCAGAGCGCTGCGCCTCATCATGCAATCTAGCCTCTCGCAACTGCAATCGGCTCACCCGTCCCTCGCTCGATTGGCCTGCTGCCTCTTTTTCTCTTTCGTTTTTGCAGCCTCCGCGAGGAAATCACACGATCGGAGCTGGTGGAGAAGGATGGGCGCCGACCCACTGGCGCTGCAGCAGCTGTCAAATGCGCCGTCACTCTCTGGCCCCGCCATGGCTCCGACAGTGGCAGAGAGCGGGCGGGCGTTGGGTTGGGTTGGGTTGCATGCTGCTAAGCGAAGCTCCACTGACGCTGCTCAGCCGCCGCCGTTGCCATGCTCTGCTCGTCTTTTTTCCCCCGCACTCTTTCACCGCTGTTGGTAGCTCGCTCCAATCCACCACCTCACGCTCCATTCTGCTGGTGATGCGCGGTGCCTGAGCCCCAAGCGCCTGCTTCTGAAACTTTGTCGCAGCCTCTTCCGCGCAAGAGACCCTGCACGCCTGCGGCTGTGGATAGCACTCGGCTCATCCGCCCTGCCCTGACTCAGACGCTCATGAGCCGAGTCGGACGCCATCCGTGTGTCGCCTCGTGCCTCCTCCTTCTCGTTATTGCCTCCCGCCTGCTTGCCCTTGCGCGCAGAGCCGTCGCTAGTCAGGAACCGACCCCTTCCATCCTTGGTCATGGCCTCGTCCCTTCTCGCTCTTTCTACTTAACCACTGACATCCTGGATTCCCACGCGCGCAACAGCCATCCAACTTCCCATCCATACCGTCTCGTCATCCCTCTACGTCGCATCATTGGTTGGTGCTTTTGGAAGCTCAGCACAGCCTCGACGTCGCACTGCTCGCCATCATCCACGCTTCACCGCTTCGATACATTCCGCTAGGCTGACTCGACAGCCATGTCCGGCTTCTACAGTCATCAGAAGTCGGCGTCAACGCTCTCGTTCGACAGCAACGAGAGAAGCTTCTCGCTCTCGTCTCGCCCGGCGACGGCCAGCATGGATCGCCCTGGCCCGTCGCGCGGCTTCCACTCCAACTCTTCCTCCGTCTCGCTTGGCAACAGCGTCGCAAACCCAAATCGCAACGGCGGTGCACCCATGCACGCAATGATGGTGCCCGGCATGGTGGTGCCTTCGACGGATCGCCCTGACCCAAACTCGCCCTTCTCGCAGTGGGAGGCCTACATCGTAAAGCAGACGCACGAATGGTCCGACAAGCGCGCAAAGGCCGTCGCCTCGCCGCCCCCCGCCGCCAACAGCCCGCGCATCGTCTGGGCCGACCAGATCCGCAAGTCTACGCCCCAGGTCCAACCGCTGGCATACACAAAGGCGAGAGACCGCGTTGCCAGTCCACCGCCCCAGGGCCCCCCTCCGCCTAACCCGCGCGGCTTGCTGCGCAAGGCTTCCTTCGACGTCTTTCGCAGCATGCCCGACGGCGGCCGCACCACGCCTTCGCCGCCCTCGTCCACCAGGCCGAGCATCTCGTCGCCCATCATCCCCAAGTCCATTCTCACCACGGCGCCAGCTCCCGTTCACGCCTCACCGGGCTCGCTCTCCGCCTCTGCATTCCTGGATACCTCGATGCGGTCGCTGCCGGACCCGAGCGGGGTGCCGCACAACGTCGAGTCGCACGCCTCGTCCATCCGCAGCCTCTCGCCTCTGCCGCTCTCGCTGCCCACCGACGACTTTTCCGCCTCGCTGCTCATCGGCCTCGACAAGCGCGCTTCCACCGCTTCCACCTCGTCTGGCCGCGCACCGGGACCGTCGGACCTCATCGCTGCACCTCTGCCCGCCATCTACAGCCCAGACATGACCGGCCCGCCGTCGATCGCCGACACCTACTCGGTGCACTCGCGCCGCTCGTCGTGGGCCAGCTCGGTCGATCTCGACCCCGCCATCATCTGCACGCCGCCTCTGTCGCACGACGGTTGGCAGGACCAGCCGCAGCCCGCCCGCCCCACCTTCCTCGCCGAGTACGGCCTCGACCAAGACAGCGACGAGAGCGAGACCGAGTGTAGCGTGTATCCCGACGAGGAGCAGGTGGCCGCACCGCTGCCCAGCGTCGCAGACGAGGAGAAGCAGCACCAGCAGCACCAGGAGATGCCACCACAGCCGGTCTTCCAGCGCCTCGAGGCGGATCTGCCTTTCAACGCGTACGGAGACGACCTCGGCGGAACGACCCGCATCGGACCCAACGGCTCGCCGCTGCCTCGCCTCGAAATCTCGACACTTCCGCGCGAGAAGGACGAGGTGCAAAAGGCGCGTGCACGCATCATGAGCCCCAGGTCGTTCAGGAAGGCCTTCTCCTCCAAGAAGAAGGGCTCGGCTTCGGGCTCGGGCTCGGCTTCAACCGGCTCGCGTGCGAGCGAGTCCTCGCCAAGCCTGCCCAACAGCAGTTCAGAGGACGTCGGCAAGGTCGAGGTGCCTTCGGAGCCGGTGACCGCCGCGTCGCCCGCGGCTGAACCCTCGCAGCTGCCCAGCCTGGCCAAGGACGACATGACGTCGTGGGCCGCCGCCATCCCTGCGCAAGCACCCCCGCCCACTTCGCCGCAGCTCGCAGAGCCTACCTCGCCCGTGCCGCAGGCACCTGCGATGGAGGCGACGGCGTCGAGCGATTCGTACCCTCAACTCGAGACGCCGTCCGAAGCAAACTTGTCCATGCCGCTCTCTCCCGCGTTCAGCACCATGACGCCCTCGATCTCGTCGGAGCTCTCGCGCGACAACGCCTCGTCGACGCACTCGTTTGGACAGAACTCGTTCGGCCAGAGGAGGCACCGCATCGTGACGCCCGGCCTGACCAAGGTCGCCTCGTCGCCGACGATCGAGGCCGGCGCGGCTCCATCGCTGGACCCACATCTGGCGCGGGCGATGACGCGCGCGCGATCCAGCGGCAGCGTCAGCTCGCACACGCCGTCGGTCGCGCTGAGCAACTCGTCGTCGACGCGACGCAACTCGCGCCGAAGCGGTCGCAGCCGCATCACGGACGGCATGCCGAGCTTTGCCAACATGGCCAGCACGCTCGCTGTGCCAATCGCCGACCAGCGCCGGCTGTCGAACCGCAGTCTGTCGAGCGAAGGCTCGATCGACAACCACAGCAACGCGTCCAACGGCTCGAGCTATGCCAAGGTCGGCGGATCGTCGGACGAGGGTGTGCCCGCGCTGGCCGTGTCGACCGCGACGGCGGTCAAGGGCGTGCTGCGCAAGCGCTCGCCGTCCGAGACGTCGTCGCTGCTGTCGCCGCGCAAGGAGGTGTCGTTCAACCTGCCCGTGGGCGAGTTCGGTGCGGTCGAGGAGCGCGCGAGCGAGGAGGAGGAGCTGCTCGAGCACGAGCAGAAGCAGCGCGCGCACCTCAAGCTGCCGCCCATGAAGCTGCAGGCGTCCGCCACGTCCGGCATCGCGGCCGAGACGGCAGAAACTGCTGCGCTCAGCCAGGACGATGCGGACATTGTCAAGTTCCTCACCACATTTGGCCGCGACATCACGAGCGTCGAGTCGCTCGAGGTGCTCGATACCGTCAATGCTGGGACGGGCGAGTGGCCGAAGCGCGACGACTGGGACTCGCTGCCGGCGTACCTGCTTGCGTACACCACCACCCTGCTCTCGGCGTACAGCGACGACACGGCGACGATGGTGTACTCGGCCGAGCGTGCGCCCAAAACCGTGCGCGGCAAGGCCAGCGCGCCCGTGCTCAGCACCAACCCGCTGTACACGGCCGTGGTGCGCAGCGTGCTCGGCATCGCCAGCTGGGAGCAGCCGCTCGTGTCGCTTGGCGCCGCGGGCGTGTACGGCTACAGCTGGACAAAGGGCCGCCTGGGTACGGTCATTCTGGTCGGTATGGCGCTGCTGCTGGCCACGCAGGGCGCGGGTGCGAACGCGGATGCCGGCAAAGATCTCGCCGACGCATACGGTAAGATCGCGCCCGTGCTGCTCGGCGACGAGGCGACGCAGGAGCGCGTGCGCAACCTGGTGCTGCGCAGGTCGCCGCGCGCGTCGCTGCGCCTCAGCGGCCTGCTCGTCGTGCTCGCGGCTGCCGCGACGCGTGTCGCCAGCAGCGTGGTCATGGGCCTGCCTGGTCTGCTGCTGGGCCTGGCGGTGTTCGTGTGGCTGCCCGTGATCCTGCACCAGCCCAGCTGGGCACCCAAGTGGCTGAGCAGCGTCAACCCGCTCGATGCGGTGCTGTACGATGTGCCCACCGACGCGCAGCATGCTATTTGCACGCTGCGCCGCCGTGCGGCCGGTGGAGACCCGCTGGTCCAGCGCACATGCTCGCTCGTGCTTTCGCCCACGCACTTTGACCACCGCGTGTCGGCACACGAGCTCGCGCATGCCGGCGACGTGCTCGACGGCGCCTTCGCCGCGCAAATCGACGGCGACTCGGGCCATCTGTGCGTGCTCGCATCGCGCGTCGTCTTCCGTGCGCTGACGGGGCGCACTGAGCAGCGCAGCACGAGTCTGGCGCAGGTGCTCGACGAGACGAGCGCATGCAGGATCACGCTCGACGTCCGACTCGAGAAGCTCGTCGCGCTCGAAAAGGTGCGCGGCGACGGGCTGAGGCTCAAGCTGCGTGGTGGACAGACGTTCGAGATTGTCCAGGTGCACGAGCGCGACCAGGCCTTCAACCGCATCCTTGCGCTGGCGCCGCACAAGTGGCACTAGACCCAACACACTCCTTTACAAACTGCCTTGTGCAGGACCACGATCGTTTCGGCGCCTGTTGGCTGCCTGTCTGTATTCTACTCGTAATCCAGGCGTATGCGCCGGTAGATCTCAGTGCGCGCGGGGATGGCAAGGGTGCAGGAGCCGGGCAGAATTGCATTGAGGGAAGGGGTTCACTCTGTTGGGTCGGCAAGACGGAGGAAGGCGCTGAACCACTTGTCGCCTCTGTTTCGCTCTACCTTTTTGCCCTCCTCTGTAGCCGTATAGACCGCCTCTACGCAGGGGTCGTGTTTGAGTTCGGGGCCGTCTTTGTCGAGACGTTTGAAGAGGGGGTGTTGGCCTAGGTGTTTGTCCATCCAGTCGTAGAGTTGGCGAACGTCTGTGATGATGTACACGATACCGCCCGGACGGAGGACGTAGGCGTATTCGGCGAGCAGGGTTGGGCTGATGATTCTCGCCTTGTGCTTGCGCGACTTGAAGTGCGGGTCGGGGAAGAGGAAGAAGAGTTTGGACAGCTGGTGCTTTGTGAAGAAGTTGGGGAGGAACTTCATCCCGTTGGCACGAAGGACTCCGACATTGTCGTACGATCCAGGTGCAAGATGTGCTGCCTCGACGAGCTGTGCATTTTGCGTAGCCTCGTCCAGATCTTCATCCGTTGCTTGGGTCGAAGAAGCTTCGGGCTGGGGCTGGGGGTCGGAGTCTTCGATTCGACCGCGTTGGGCAGCTAGACGAAGCGCGACGATCTTATCGTGCACATACTGCGTCACATGCACCCTAATCTCCAATCCCAGCATGAGTGTGTCGGGAAACAGCGGTGCCAATTGCATAAGCAGGCCTCCGAATCCACATCCCACATCGGCAAATTCGACGTTCTTGGTCTCGTGTCCTGCTCGATGCGCTCCCGTGGTCGAATCAAAGTAGGTCGGATAGATGGTCCCCCAGTTCATCTCGCTTGGCTGCGTGGGGTATTCAAGACTGTGATCCGAAAAGGGATTGGCATGTGCACGTTGTCGATACCATCTCTTCTGGGGGATGATGATCTTGCCTCCCGAAAGCGAGTTGATGTGCTGTTTGGACTGTTCGAGCTGGATGCGATCGTGCTCGGACTTGGCATCGGAGGAGTTGGCAGGCACGTGTGCCAGTGTGCTGCGTTTGCGCTTGCCCATCGTTGCGTATGTGATGTATGGATGAGAAGGAGGAGGAGGAGGTGAATGCTAGGTCCAAAGAAAATTCCGTGTGGAGAAAAAGTTGCGTCGAGCGTGTGGTCAAATCTAACACATCTCCGAATTCTCGGGGATCCCGGAAGCCGAGAAAGTTGCAATTCGGACCCGAAGCGCAGCAGGCCGGGCGCTGTAGGCTTTTGGCAGCATCTCTCCACCATCCCTCCTGCTCACCCTGCCGCGCAACACCGACCAGACCACACGCCAAGATGGACAAGCTTCCCAGTGCCGATGAGATGCGAGGTACGTCCGTCCCTGCCCCAGCACCACCCGCTGTTCTGGATTGGAACTCCATTTTTACTGACTGTGTTGCGGTTGGATTGCGGGATGATAGAGACGCTCGCGCAGCGCGAGGACAAGATCCGCGAGTCGTGGGTGCGCACCATGGAGGCAAGGATCGTGCGCGAGGAGCTGCAAAAGTGCCACAAGGCCGAGGGCGTAAACCACTACCAGGCCTGTGCCGATCTCGCCAAGAAGTACCACTCCTTGTTGGCCGATGCCAAGGTAACGTAGCAATCCACCCCCCCGGCGCGTGTGAGGGGAGACAATCATGCTGACGCTTGTGTTTGCGGTCATAGGTCAAGGGGTTCAGAGTCATCGACACTGCGTAAATCCGCGTAGGCTAGCCCAGCTCCTTCCAATGCCAATATCTTTTCGTCGCATGTTTGCGAACGTGCATCCTTGTATCCATACAGCCGATCGTGCCAACAGAGCAGACCGTGGAAAAGAGTCTCAACCTACATGCAGAGGCCGTGCTTCGTCACACGGCGGGGAAGCGCGTCGAAGCTCAACAAAGAGAGGCGTGGCGAGGTACAATTACAATGGGCAAACGGGTGGCAGTAAGATGCGCGGGTCAGCTTGCATATTCGCGCTGGAAGTCTTGCAGCTCGGACTCCTTTTGCTTGTACTGCTTGAGGAGCGTTTCGAGGATTTGCTTGAGCTGTACATCGCGTCCACACGCACGCAAGGTGTGATTGTCAGCACGTTGCCACTCTTGGGCGATGCGACTGCATGAGAAAGTGAAAACGCAACTTACGCCTTCGAGGTTGGTCTGGAGAGCGGGCAGGACCTCCTTGACTGTGCGTTCGACAAGCACGCCGCCGATGAGGCGGAAGCACTTGCGGTTGGGGTCCGCCTTGGACGCTTCGGTGAGCGTGTCGATGACGAGCCTGGTGCAGCACAGCACAGTTGGTTAGCAAGGAGCATTCTCATGGACGCTGTGGGCAGGATACTCACTTGTGTTCGTCCGCCTCGCCTTCGAGCTCGCCGACCTTGGATGCGATGCCCTGCAGCTCGGATCTGCGCGACTGGAACAGCTGTGCTGCTTCTGTTGTGCGATGCAAAGATTGGAGGTCAGCATGATCTTCGAACGCCGTGGTTGGCAGCGTGGGCAGACGAGAGTGCGCACGCACCTTGTTCGGAGAGCTGCCTCTTCTGCGCCGAGCCGGCGGCGGGCTTCTGTGCTGCTACGGAAGCCATTGTGTCGTGAGCAGCAATGATGGTGCGTGTGTGACGAGCGGCAGAGAGCGTGTGCGATGCAGAAGGTGCAAGTGTTGGTGTGTGTCGAGCAAGCTCCTGTCGGCGCTTGGCGTGACTTTGATTCTTTGCGGTGCAGCAAAGTCAAGCCGAGTCTAACAGCTTCAACTCGACAAATTTCGAGCACTCTGATGATCCGCTCCAGATCGCTCGACAGTCGGAGAAGCAATTTCGAAAGGGGCATCAGAGCCTGACAACTCCACTTTGAATGCAAAGGCAGTGCAGCAGTGCGGCAGTGCAGCGGCTGAGCCAGAAGAAAGGGCGGTGCACACGCCAGCCTAAGCCCAAAGCCTGAGCCCTGAGCCTAAGCCAAAGCCTCAGCCTCGAGTTGCCATCCAATCTGCCTCCACTCCAACAGCGCGTTGCACCCCACCCACCATCCATCCATCTATCGCCGCCTGCTCATTGTTCTAGCCTTCCACCCCCGGCCACAACCTGCTCCAACAGCGTGCGAGTTCACCCCCCGCGCATCACGCCGTCAAGATGGAGGCCATCAAGCTTCAAAGAAAGTACCCTCAATTGTAAGTGTTATCAATCACCCCCACCCCACCTCGACACAACTCTGACGTCCCTCCTGACGTGTCTGCTATTCTTCGCTGCACCACAGCTCGCAAGAGGAGATGATGGGTCTCATCTCGCGTTTTCGCACGCTCGACGTAGAGGAAAAGGGCAGCATCCCAAAACAGGACGTCATCAAGGCCATCCAGGACCAGGGCGACGCCTCCTACGACCAGGTGCGCGAAACGCTCAAAGAGGTCGACCTCGATGCCTCGGGCCGCGTCGAGCTCGACGACTACGTCGATCTGCTCGCAAAGATCCGCGCAGGCCGCAACGCATCCGCAGGCGTCGTCACCAAGGGCAAGGTCTTCGTCAAGGGCGCCACCTCCTCCACCCAACACACCATCAACGAGGACGAACGCTCCGAATTCACCCGCCACATCAACTCCAACCTCGCCGGCGACGCCAACATCGGCGCACGCCTCCCCATCCCCACCGACACCTTCCAGCTCTTCGACGAGTGCCGCGACGGCCTCGTCCTCTGCAAGCTCATCAACGACTCGGTCCCAGACACGATCGACGAGCGCGTCCTCAACTTTGGCAAGGCCGGCAAGCCTCCCAACGCATTCCAGATGACCGAGAACAACAACATCGTCATCACCTCCGCCAAGGCCATCGGATGCTCCGTCGTCAACATCGGCCCGCAGGACATCATCGACGGCAAGGAGCACCTCATCCTCGGCCTCGTATGGCAGATCATCCGCCGCGGCCTCCTCAGCAAGATCGACCTCAAGAATCACCCCGAGCTCTACCGCCTCCTCGACGAAGGCGAGACGCTCGACGACTTCCTCCGTCTACCCCCCGACCAGATCCTTCTTCGTTGGGTCAACTACCACCTCAAGGCGGCCAACTGGCACCGTCGCGTCGCCAACTTCAGCAAGGACGTCTCGGACGGCGAAAACTACACGGTGCTGCTCAGCCAGCTCAAGCCGGAGCTGTGCGATCGCGCACCCTTGCAGCAGACCGACGTCATGCAGCGTGCCGAGATGGTGCTCCAGCGCGCCGACGCCATCGGCTGCCGCAAGTACCTCACGCCCGGCTCCATGGTCGCGGGCAACCCCAAGCTCAACCTCGCCTTCGTCGCGCATCTCTTCAACACCTGGCCGTGTCTCGAGCCGTTGGAAGAGGCGCCGCCCGTCGAGATCGAGGACTTTGACGCCGAGGGCGAGCGCGAGGCGCGCGTCTTTACGCTCTGGCTCAACAGTCTCGACGTCGAGCCGGGCGTGTACAACCTGTTCGAGGATCTTAAGGACGGTACGGTGATCCTGCAGGCGTTTGACCGCGTCATCCCCGGCAGCGTCACGTGGCGCCGCGTGAGCAAGCCCAAGGAGGGCCAGGAGCTGTCGCGCTTCAAGGCGGTGGAGAACACCAACTATGCGGTGGATCTGGCCAAGGCGAGCAACATGCACATTGTGGGCATTCAGGGCGCCGATATCGTCGACGGCACACGCACGCTCACGCTCGGGCTCGTGTGGCAGCTCATGCGCCTCAACATCACCAAGACGCTCTCGTCGCTCTCCAAGGGCGGACGCGGCGTGTCGGACGCCGACATGGTGGCGTGGGCCAACAACCTCGTCAAAGCCAGTGGCAAGAGCACCCAGATCAGGTCGTTCAAGGATGGCCAGCTCAGGACGGCCGTGTTCTTCCTCGACCTGCTCAATGCGTTGCGTCCGGGCATCGTCGACTACTCGCTCGTCAACCAGGGTCGCACCGACGACGAGGCGAGGATGAACGCCAAACTAGCCATCTCGATCGCACGCAAGCTCGGCGCACTCATCTTCCTCGTGCCCGAAGACATTGTCGAGCTCAGGCAGAGGCTCATCCTCACCTTTGTCGGCTCGCTCATGGCGATCCAGTCGTAAGACGGCGTTGCAAACCTTTTTCAAATCGCACAATCATTCACACGGACTCTCGCGGCTTGTGCAGAGCGATTCCATTCGGCATGATTGTGAGGTGGCTAGAGTTTGGCTCGGGCCGGGGAGTCGAGGAAGGAGGTGATGGCGTTGGACCAAAAGTCGATGTCGAAGTAGTCGTACCAAAAGTGGCCGAATTCGGGGCTGGGTGTCGAGAGTCGCTTTGCGTGCTTGATGCCCTTGAGGATGTGGTCGCTTTCGTTGTAGAGGACCATTCTGTCCCTTGCGCCGTGGATGACGAGTACGGGGAGCGAGGCTGGGATGCGGTGGAGGTTTTCCCTCACATCGGCCGCCTGAATGGCGAGAAACTGGAGTGCAATCGTATGTGCAGGTCGCTTGGTCCCACGAACCGTTTCGAGCCTTTGTCTAAACTTGGCCTCCATCTGCTTGCCCTCTCCCAGGACTTCATCGTGGTACTGAACCTTCATCATGTTGAACGTGATGAAGTCGTTGCGTTGTGTCTTGTCGGCGATCTTTTCCGCCTCCTTATTCAGCGCATTGAGGTTCACATCCCCGCGCGGCAGCTTGGTCATCGTCGCGCTAAGAACCGCCTTTCTCACCGCCACGTCCTCCAACTTGACCATACCGTCTTGAACTTGAGCCGTGTCGGACGAAAGCAGGGCTTGGACGATATGGCCACCCATGGAGAAGCCGAGCAGGTCGATGGTGGTGAATCCCAAATGCGAGGCGAGGTGGATGACATCCATACCCATGCTTTCAAGCGACAGGTCCTGGTCCCACTCCTCGCCGACCGTCGATTCGCCAATGCCGCGGTGATCCGAGATGACCACAGTGCGAGAAGCACCGAGCGCCTCAAAGAGCGGTGTCCAGTCAACCATGACGGCGGAAAGACCGTTGATGAGGAACAGCGGTGTGCGCGCACGTGCCTCGGCGGACGCGGGCGTACACACGCGGTACGCCATCCGACACCCCTGCCCGTCGGGCAGCGACAAGAATCGAGTAGTCATTGTTGGTGTAGAGAGATGGTTGCCAGAAAGCAGCCGGTGCCCGTGTGTGTGTGTGGGGTAAAAATGGTAGCCGGCCCGGAAGAGGGGGGAAAAGCGAGTTACCGCCGCCCCAATCCTAGCCGAAGCGTGTGAGAAAGAGGCGGTGACCACCGCGAAATCTCGGAGTTTGTTAGATTGGAAAGCGCTGAGCTTGGTCGAAAGTGGAGGACGTGACTGTCATCACCGCAACACTTCAACACCACCATCTACATCTTCAGAGTCTTTGGCGTGGCAATCATGGATGCAGCTGAACTCGAGGCGTTCGAGACGCAGCTCGCGGATACTCGGACTGCACTCCAATCCGATTCTGACAATGCCGACCTGAAGGCGTTGCGCGACGAACTGGTCAATCTCATCCAGCTTTCCAAATCCATCCCCACCGACAATGCCATCGGACCACCACCCCCTCCTCCCGAACCAAGTCCCTCACCCCCTCCCAGTGCTCCGAGTGGATCACGTATGTCTTCGGCGCCATCTCCACGCTTCACCGTCGGCCAACAAGTAAACGCACTCTATTCGGACCGACGCTGGTACCCTGCACGCATCGTCTCGCTCAGCGGCGACCCTGCCAATCCGCTCTGCACAGTCGTCTACACCGGCTACGGCAACTCGGAAACCCTCCCCTCCTCCTCCCTCAAACCTCTCCCCCCTCAACCACAAGATCCAACCCCACCACCACCTCCTCCTCCTCCCTCAGATTCGGCTCTACCACCTCCTCCTCCACCGCAACCAAGACCCCCTGGCCCACTCGACGACAAGACACGCAAAAAGATGCGCACCGAAAAGAAGATTGCTCGCCGAGAACACCAGTCGGCCATCGCCCAGGCCAAGGCCACCTCGTGGCAAACCTTCTCGGCCAAATCCAAGAGCCTCCCCAAGAAAAGCATGTTTCGCACCTCAGACGACCCCTACGCCCGCGTCGGCATCTCCAAATCCCCCAAACCGCCGTAGAATCGTAAAGCAGGGTATCAATTTTCGATAAAGTCATCGTAACATCATGCACGGTGCGCAACTGAAAAGCCCGCCGCAATCACCAGCGTGCTCGCCGCCGTGTGCGCGAAGGTCAGCGCCGTCGCCGCCTCGCCAATCACCTTGGTGATCTCGCTGTTGAGCTGGCGCTCGGTCGCGTCGGCCGAGTGGTGTGTCTGAATGAGCGCCTTGAGCTCCTCGCGGTGCGTCTGCGTCGGATTCCTCCTTCCGCGCCCCACAACCACAATCGCCGGCTGCTTGCTCTCCGCCAGCTGCATCAGCTCGCGCAGCGGCCGCGCCGTGCTCACCGTCTCGAGCGTGAGCCGGCCCCCGAACCGGTCCGCCGCCACCTGGTCCTGCACGCGCTGTAGCGCCAGGTCGTCCTCCAGCGTCGCCTCGAGCGCCGACTGCACCGCCACGCCGCCGCCGTACTGCGTCGGGTAGACCGTGTCCATGTTGCTGCCGCCGCGCAGCACCGAGTGGTGCGCATGGCTCAGGCTCATCTCGTGGTGCACCGTCGGCGGCACCGTCGGCAGCTGCTCCTCGCCCGCCTCTTCGGACGAGATGCGCGACATGCGCACCACCAGCACCGACAGGTGGCGGTTGTTGGCACACAGCCGCGACACCAGGTCGAGCGCCGCACGGTCGTCCGGCCCGCCCATAAACGCAAACAGGATCGACTGCGAGCCCACGCGCGACAGCATGCCCAGCCCTCCGGCCTGCTGCGCCTTGCGCTCGATCAGCACACCCACATCCGTCTCGGTGGTCTGGATGATCTTGCGGACCACATTAAAGTGCTGCGCAGAGTACTTGCCCTTAAGCCCGTCCGACGCGTTCGAGGCCCAGCCGCCGCCAAACAGGCTCTCGAGCGGGTTGGTCAGCGTCGCAGCCAGCGGCGACGAAGGCCCGGCGGCGGCAGCCTCCTGAGCTCCACCACCGCTGCCCTGCCCCGCACCAGCCTGCGAGAGCGTCATGGGCAGGATGATAAAGTTGCTTCCCGCCGCCTTGCAGCGCCGTGTGACGGCGGGGGCGAACTCCTCTTGCGGGATGACCGACATGGTGGACTGGACAGGCAGGCCGTTCAGGTGGGCGAAGGTCTGGAAGACATTGATGATCGGGTCGGCGCGCATGGTGTCTTCGGACTCGGACACCTTCATCACGGCCGAGGTGCGGTCGGTGAGCTCGACGAGGCGCAGCGCATCGATGCTGATCTGCGCCTGCGAGCGCGCAGCCATGATCGAGGCGTATGGCGCTTCGGACGCAAGCGTCGGCGGCTGATACTGGCCATCGTCGGCGCCGTCGACCGAGTTGACCGAATCGTCGCCGGCCTCGGTCGACTTTTCGGCCGCATCACCCTCGGATCCAGCCGAGGCCTGCTTGGAGCGACGTCGGCGGAGGCCGGCCGACGCATCGTTGGCGAGATTGGAAGTGGGGTTGGCGGCGGCGAGCGTTGGCTGCATGAGCTGGACGAGCGTCATGAGGCCGGGCAGGTGCTCGAAGCTGCTGAGCACGACAAGGAGGCGCTTGGGCGAGAGGCGCGAGCTCGTGTCGGTGTCGTCCTCTTCGTCGCCCGAGATGGTCTTGCCGTGGTGCGAGTGGATGGATGCGTCGTCGAGTCGGGTGCGCACGCTCTCGGGGTATACCCAGAGCGTGAGCGGCGTGGTGATGACCGTCGACACCACGGCCATGAGCACGAACATGGAGAAGACGCGCGTGTCGAGGATGCCCGCCGAGAGGCCGATGTTGAGCACAATGAGCTCGACGAGGCCCTTGCACGACATGAGCGTGCCGACAGCGGCCGACTCGCGCAGATTGAATCCAAAGGCCTTGGCGGCCGCGGCACATCCGATGAACTTGGAGAAGAAGGCGATGATGATGATGGCCACGGTATACGCCCATGCCTTGCCCGAGTTGAGGTCGCCGAGGTTGGTCTTGAGGCCCGAGAGTGCAAAGTAGATGGGCAGGAAGACGACGAGCACGAGATCCTCCATCTTTTCGGTGAGAGCGATGGCGTAGCCGCCCTCGTGGGGCACCATGAGGCCGACAAGGAAAGAGCCAAAGATGGGGTGTACGCCAATGATGTCGGTGATCCATGCGCTGACGAGAACGAGAAGGAGGGTGATCATGATCATGACCTGGTTGGGGCCGTTCTCGAAGCTGCCGGTGCGGCGTGCGAGCCAGATGAACGAGGGCTTGATGAGGAAGAAGAGCACGAGGATCCAGCCAACGGCGCAAAGCAAAATGTAGAGCGCGGTGAGACCCGTGTCTGCGTTGACGAGGGCGACGGTGAGAGCGAGGAGGATCCAGCCGACGACATCGTTGCCGACACCGGCAGCAAGCACAATGACACCGACCTTGGTGTACAGAAGCTTTGTCTCGGTGAGGATGCGGGCGAGCACAGGGAACGCGGTGATAGCCATGGCGACGCCGGTGAATAGGATGAAGTGGCCGAAAGAGACGTTTTCCTTGTCGATGAAAGCATTGTAGATGCCGACCGAGACGGCAGCGCCCATGCCGAAGGGGAGGACCATACCTGCGACGCTGATTGCGGTGGACTCCTTGGCGCATCGGCGGATGACACGCACGTCGACCTCGAGGCCGACGAGGAAGAGGAAGAGGACGAGACCGAGGGTGGAGACGAGGTTGAGGTAGGGGAGCGACGGCGGTGGGAAGATGTGCTTTGTGAAGCCGGGGATGCGGCCCATGGCGGTGGGGCCGAGGAGGATGCCGCCGATGACCTCTGCGATGACACGCGGCTGGCGCAGTCTCTGGAGCGCGAAGCCGAGTACGCGTGTGACGATGATGATGATGGCGGCCTGGATGATGAACAGACGCAGCGGGTTGGACGTCTCAAAGGCAGTGGGGTCGGAACCACCGAAGACGCTGTCGCTCTTGGCGGCGCGCGCCACCAGGAATCGCGCCATGATTGTATGCTGAGCTACGTTCTGCGCGTGAGGAGAGAGGGCGGCGAGAAACTGTCTCGGATGAGCCGAACAACGAGCAGAGCGTGGGAGCAAGTCAGAGCAATCGGTGGCGCGGAGGGAAGCCGAGCCAGAGAGATGCGCTGATCCTTTATATCGAAGCAAGTGTGAGCCAGTCACGCTGCCAAGGCCTGATCGTGGATCGTAGTGAAGGGGTGAGGGGGAGGGGGAAGGAGGAGGCGGGATGAAAATGGCCCGCGTCAAGGAAGTGTGTTGAGCGACGAGAAGTGTTGCGCCTGTGTTGGTCTTGCGTGAGGCAGCGTTTGCCACGATCGCGGGGTACGTGCGTCAAGGAGACCAGAGTTGGGCGCTGCTGTCGTGGCGTTGTGCTGTGTGCTGCTCCGAGCAGCCTCGGTAGAGAGGACGTGCTGGTGCTGTCAGCTCCGACTATGCAGGGGTTGTGGAGATGAGCAAAGAGGTGCGTGGCAACAAGGCTCGCTCAATAGGCCGTCAGGGGCGCGCCCGCTTTGCATTGCGGTTTCCAACGCAGCGCTGTGCTTTGCTGCGCTGTGCCAAGACCCGCGCGTCTGGCAGAGTGGAGCCCAAGAGGAAAAATCTCGAACCCACGTCTCCTCGCCACGCTGCATGGACTCGCTGCAGAAGCGAGCCAGGGTCTGAGCGCGCTGTGGCGGCGTGGAAACGTGCGTGCATGCATACGTGCATGCACCCGCTCGCCCAACCCAGGCTAGGACGTGCAGTCGAAACGCCCTGCGTCCTCTCCGGTTGTACAGCGCGCAGCAAGACGAGAGGGCTGAAAGTGTGCTGCAACGTCTGCTTTCGCGGCCCCTCCGAGACTTGCAAGGGAGGAGTGGGTGACTGTGGCGCCAAGACTTGGGCCTATAGGGGGTGATTTTTTGCATGACCGCCCGCCCCGCCCTCGGCGCCTCGCCAGCGAGCAGTAGGAAATCCCCGAGCCAGACTCGGCACTGCCGCCCTTGCGGTTCGTGGCTGCCAAATTCTAGGCTCTCCAACCCCTCGAAGCCTTACCTGACAGCGAGCCTACTTACCTCTGACCCTCTGACCCTTTGCCATGTGGGGAAAATCGAGCATCTCTCCTCCGTCGCCTTTTGTACAGGCTTTGCCGCAAGCTCCAACACGCAGTAACCGCGTCAGACGTCGGATGAGCAAACGAGAGAGCCGCATTGCTACGATGCAAGCCGTGAGATCATCAGCGTGCAAGACCACGCTAAGCCTAATCAAGAATCCTCCAACGTCGAACTCAGTTCTTCGGCGCTGTCGCCGAATCGTTTATTGTGGCGCTGCACGACCCACACTTCTGAGAGGGTCTCAGGGCAGGAAGAGTTCACATTTCATCTAGCTAGACACCGAGGACTGTTGCCACTCGAACTGGAACGCTTGCACACCAGGCGCGGAGGAGCCCGAACCGTTGGGCGGCGTCGAAGCGGTCGGCCTCGACGGCAGATAGGCCGCCACCTGGCTCGTCGCCGTCCACAGCGGCGGCTTCGTGTCAAAGTAGCCTAGTTCGGCCATTCCGGTACACGTGCCGACCTCGTTAGCCGACGAGCTCGTCTTGGGCGGCGACATGGGCGCTTGTGCCAGAAACAGGCTCGAGGCAGACCCGCCATCGGCCAGCGCATCACCTCCGGCGGCGTGGGAAGGAACCGTCGGTGGCACCATCAGCGCATAGTTCGCATAGCCCTGGCCCTGAGACGCCGATCCCGACGACGACGATGCGTTGGATGAAGGAGGCGACGAGACAATCGGCGAGCTGCTGTTGCCGGCGTTGGCCGCGTGGGTGTCGAGCTCCAGCATCGTCGGTGGGCACTGAGAGTGAGACGCCGCTGCAAGACTCGACAGCTGGAGCAGATTAGGTCCACATGCAGCGTTGGCCGCAGCCTGCTGCCACATCACCGAGTCTTGTCCGGCGTTCATGACGTGCCTCGTCGCCGCCTCGTCTGCGCACCACGCCCGATCGTATCCAGGCGCCTTGGTGTAGTGGAAGACGGGAAGATGCGGCTGCAGTCCCACCCCACCGTGTCCCGGCGCCTTGTGCTCGATAGTCTCGCCATCCACCACACTAGAAGACAAAAGGCAATACAATGTCAGCTTGATTTCGTGCTTGGTAACCTTGTGAAACGCCGACAACTTACGAGATGGGCAGGCTGGGTCCGTAGCACGAAGTCTGGTGCGGACCGCCATTGTTGTGCCTTTTTCGTGCGCGCTTGGGCGACATGCCGATCGCCAGCTGTCCGAACCCCTCCGAGTCCGGTCGCAGGCACGAGGCCGGGAAGTCGTAGCCAAACAGCGGCACGAGGTGGTCCCGAATGTCCCACGCGATGCGGCGCGACAGCTCCTTGGCAAGATCGTACGGAAGCCAGGTTCCCTGGATGCTCAGATAGCCGCCCTTGAGCTTGGTGATGTGCGGGTCCAGCGCAGGACACGTACGCACCAGTCGGCCAAAGTTGACTGTAGTCGATAATGCGTTGAGCAGATGATTATCATCAGTTCTAGGCCTTGCTGAAGCGTCGATTCTACCACGGTCAGTGGTGTCGACTTACCCTTGTTCTTGCCCAGAGCTTGCGTGATCGAAGTACTGGATCCGCGCATGGTCACAAGGTCAGCACCACATCACACCAACGAACCATGCTGGTCACATGTACGACTTACAATCGAACCAGCGACGTGTCGACGTCGATCATCATCGTGTGTCCACGCACGTCGTATTCGAACACTGACGCCATACATCGGCATCATGACCAGCGTCAGTGCCCTGTCTTTCTGCTCGTGTGAGGGCGAGGGGTAGACTTACCTGTCATAAAGCCACGGTCGCCACCCGTAGTCGCGTATTTGCCCTTGCGCAGCTCGTGGATGGGCGTCGGGAACAGCTTGGCAGGCCGAGGTCCGCCGATGAAGAAGCCCTCGGCTTGCTCTGCATTCATCGCGTCAGATTGTCTGCGCAGCAGCTCGGCGTCCTTTCGCGTGTACGGCGGACCGCGCTTCTGCATGCCACCCGGTCCCATGTGCATACCCATACGGCCATCCGTGTTGCTGGCAAGCTCCATCGAGCCAGAAATACTAGCGGTTGTCTTCATCTTGACCAGGAGGTCGGCTGCAAACGCGATGGAATCCAGGTCGAGCTGGTCCTTGAGATGCTTGTCGTCGTCGAGCTCAGTCGCAGCCTCTGCTTTTTCTGATGAGTTCGATGAGTCGGCCGAGGACTGTCGAGGTGTTTCTTGCTTGATTCGAGGCTAGAACGAGTGAAGGCTCGGGTTAGCTTACTGTGACACTCGCTGGCGTCTTAGCTGGGGCGTCTGAGTCGAACGGATGGTCTGGAGGGGAGTGAGGGGCAGGTCATTTATACGCATCGGGAACGGCGAAATCGCAAACACAATTGGACACGCTCCATGCATGCGAGGGGGATCCGGCAACAAGCGCCACCGGGCAGCGGCGAAGCGGCGAGCCGCAAACTGAAGCTCCAAGTGGGTTTGGGTGCAATGTCATACTTGGCACTGGAGCTTTGCGCCTATGTCTGCGCTGCACGCTGCCGTAGGTGGACATGCAGGCAAGCCGCACCTACCGTACCGCGACCTGCACAATGTGGGAACAACCGCGCCAACTAAAACGCCGGACATCACAATGGACATGGCCGGTCGCCGACATGAAGCTCACCTCAGCACCGAAGTGCTCCGACCCTCCCTGCTCATCGTCACGGGGGAGGAGCGATGGGACGGCTCGAGATCAGCGTCTCTATTTGCCGTGCTTCATTCTGCTCTACCTTGCAAGCCTAATCGTCTCGGCACCATCCAACCGTTGCCACCGCAAAGCGCAGTGGGCGAGCCAAAGTGTGTCGACGTGGACACTGAGTTCGGTAGGTTGCGCGTTGCTTTGACGCGTCCGAAGCATGATGAGCAAGAAACCACCCTTCCCCCCGTCCCCCATCCTCAAAGGCTGAGCCAAAAGCTTGGGTGGAAGCATAAGGCTTCGCCCGAGCCGGAAGAAGCCACCGGAAGCGCCGAGGCAGCACTAAAAGCTGAGCGGCGGCAGAACCGCAACGCCTGTGAAGTCAGTGGGTACCATTTTGGCTCGACGATGGCGGCGACAGCGGCCCCGCCCCACGTCACGCTGCATGGATCAACGAGTGGCGACACGAGATTGCACGCGATGTCCACGCCCGTACCTTAATCTCGCGATGGCCGTGGCCGTGCTGGCCGTGGTATCGTGCGTATCGAGGCGAACCGGCGAGGCTTCGGCACGAGTGAAGAGGCCGGAACGTTTGTGCGGCGTGCATGCCAACACAGCCCTTTGGATTTCTCGAGCCACCTCCAACGGCAGCAACCAAATGAGCTTCATCATCGATAAAGAAACGTAAGCTTTTGCCTGCATCGCGTGCACCGCAAAGGCGAGGCAACCAAAGCAATGAATCGTGTGAAGGAAAAGAAGGCATCCGCTTGGATGCAGTTGGACGGGACGAATAATGGGCTCCTGGCGTCTGTGAGCAGCATCGTTGGGTGCAGAGGCAAACCTTGATGTTGCCTTCCAACAGCCGCTGCCATCTCGATGAGGTTGTGCACCCATTGTTTCCAGACCCTCCCGTGCGGGCAGGCAAGGAAGTTGCGGCCGGAAATCGTGGCAACCGCATGCAATGCATCCACATGACCCCGCCCAGATGAACTCTTCTCGGCCCAGCTGCAGCGTCGCATGTCCGGCTGTATTTGCCGGCGGGTAGCGCACATCCTGCACCGGTCATGCCAAGAAGTGAGGCGGCACGGCCACCTTCCAACGCAGCGGAAATGAGCACCAACCATCGCGCGCGATCGGCCAGCCATCCAGCACCGCCCTCCGCCTTGAGACTGAACCAGAATGGCTGATGGAGTCTAAAACGCCATCCTCGCCGCTCTTGGCTGCCGGAGCCGTGGCGATGTGCAATATCCAAAAGCCAAGGCCGAACAAGTAGACGCAGGGATTCGAAAGTACGTGGGGGAGAGCCGAGGTGGTACGAGCCATGTTGGTGACTCGTCCACACCTCGGAGCGTGACACACAGTGCGCGCGGTAAGCGCTGGTGGGGACTGCGCCGAGCTGACCAAACTCGAACCGGGGAGTGGCGGGATCGAACTTACCGGTGAATGAGCGACATGAGTGTGGGCAAAGTTACGCTCCACGCTCGATCGGACCCGCGCGTACGGGTGGGGGCGAGCAGGCTTTGCCAATGTCGCACGGCTGTGCCACCGCCGAGCGGTGATTGCAGCCCTCACCTCGTCGGACGAGTGATCCGACATGACTTTCCGACCCAAGTTAGCCTCCGAGACTGGATTCTGCTCTGTGCGGATCCGAACGGCAGACCTGTCCGAATCAGTACGTCGAATTGCTTGTAGTCAATACTATCCGTGTCGAATGACATACCGTGCGATATGTGCAGGCTTGGCTATGATGCAGAGTGAGCGAATGTGTGCCGTCACAGCTTTGATTGAGTGACTCTGTGTGAGGCTGTGGAGGGATAGTGGTCGCAGAGGGACGGTTAGGGAGCAAGCCGTAAAGAATGTCGATTCACGTATGTCGGGCTGTACTGTCGCTGAGTTCCGGTCTGCTGGTCTTCTTATATCTCGTCTGATTTCTCTCTAACAGCGGCATCGATACCCGGCGCTTCCGCTCTCGTAGCCTGCAAACCTGTAGACGGGATGCTGCTGCTCGCTTGTTTTGTTTCCCGCGCCGCTGCTGTTCGCTTCGCCGAGCAGCCTCAATCTCATTATAATCTCTACCCGCACACACAGTCCGCCGAAGCGGCACGGAGATGAGATAGTCGAGCACGGCAGTAGAAGCATGGTTCAACGTGCGTCCATTCGGCCACGGCGAGCCATGGTGATGAGCATCCTGACACGCACCGCGTCCACATGGTGACAGGTGTCGACTTGTGCTCTGCCCGAGCGCCTCCGAGCCGTACAAATTCAAGCGCAGGAAGCAATCCGCACCGAATCGGCACCGCTCCTCCCAACCACAGCGCTCACTGAGCCCACACACACATTCACAGGCGCTTTGTACCTGCGATCAGACTGGGACACATTTCGAGGTTCTGACGATTGCGAGAGTGAAGTGTAATTTACAAGCCGGAACTGGACTGCACTGCGCGGGCGGCTCAGTCCTCCATCTCGTCATCGAGCGCCTCCTTGGCCTTGCTGATTGCCTCTGCTCTCAAGTCCTCAGGCACGGCCGTGTGCACGCCATTGCTCTCTGGCCCGATCCAGCTGAGCTCGAGCTCAAAGTCCTTGTCCTTGGCATCGTCGTGCACCTTGTAGATGATCTTGGCCGCGGCCTCCACGGCGTCCTGCATGGAGAGCGTGTCCAGGTCGAGCTTCTCGATCTCGGTCTTGGCGAGCTGCCTGCCCTTGCCCACTGCGCAGCCGTTGTAGCCCCAGAACACGCCGGACGGCTCGATCATGTAGATCTGCGGGCCCTTGACATTGTCGATGCCGGCGATGATCGCCGACACGCCAAATGGACGCACGGACGAGTAGAGCGTGTACGCCTGCACGTAGTACGCCACGCGGTCCGCGAGCGTCTTGACGGGCGCCGCGAAGCGGTAGTTGTCCAGATGCGACACTGCCTCGGAGCGTGCGCGCGACGCGAGGTGCTTGCCGTCAGCAATCAGCCCCGCAGAGACAATGCCGATGTGGGGCGCAACGTTGTAGATGCGTCGGTTGGAGCCGGGCACAAGCAGCTTGGACTGCACGAGCTTCTCCACAGCAATGACCACGCCGGTCTTGGTCTTGATAGCGATCGCCGTGCCTGCGTTCTCTGTCGCCTTGGCCGCGTACTCGATCTGCACCGAAGCAAGCAAGTGCGGGATGCGAGAGTGTCAGTCAGCGTGTGCTAGCAAAGCGTGCGGATCGAGGCGTCGTAGCCTCCTTCACTGGCCTCGAAGAGCAGCATGCTTACCTGGAAGATTCGGCCGTCGGGCGAGTAGGTACTCGCCGAGAGATCGTATCCTGTACCCTGTGATGCCATTGTGCACAGTTCTATGCGTTCTGCACTACTTTGTTCGTGACGCGCGCTCGGTCTTGAGCGTTGAAAGTTGCGCTGCGAAGTGCACGCCGACTAGGAAGCGTCTCCGAGATGTTCGAGTCGAGTCGATGCTGATGTGCGCTGAGACTGAGCGGCGTTGCAACGTCGAATGTCGGTGTGAGCCAGTGAGGCGCGCGCGCGGTGTGAAGGTGCGATGAGGGCGGTGCGAGCGGTCGGTCGATGTAGGAAGAAAGGGTTGTGTGGGTGGAGGGAGGGTGCGTATGTGTCGGTTCTGTTGGTGTGGAGCGCAGCGCGGCTCTGGCAGGGTGGTCTGCGCGTTCCTCAGCTTCGCGAGCCACGCACAGTCGATCACCGCACTCCACTTGCCTTTACGAACGCCAGGCCGGGTTGAAATTTGAAATTTAGACTTTGTTAGACCCTCATTGGAGGCACAAACTTGGCGAAAATTCAGGTCCGGTTTCGGAAGGCGGGAATGGCAAAGTCGCGAGGGGCCGACCCTTCGCTTTCGGAGCGGCTCTCCTCGCTTCCAGACGGACCCCCACATCACCTTTGGTGCATCCGCTCTGCTCTTCTTGCCCGCACTTTGACGATCGAAGCAACAGCGAACCTCGAAGCGGACCTCCGTAGAAGGTGCTCGCTCGATCCGCTCACGCAGTTGAGCTCCGGAACAACACCGACATTGCACACGACTGCGAGGAACAACACAGACGCACTCTTCTCGTGCGCGACCAAGCGATACTGGTGCTACACAGGTTTCAGCACTGCCGTCATCTCTGAGACGCAAAGCTAGGAGCTACGACGATCTCGGTGTTGCAACAGACTTGAGCTTAGGAAGATGACGCACCTTCTTCCGCCCAGCCTTTTGCGGCTGTTCGCGGCGCGGCCACCACTGGAGTACGCTGCGCCGCTAGTGTACGATCCTAACCCAAATGCAACACCGCTGCCAAAAGACCGTTCGCTTATTTCGAAGCGCAAATCCATCCGGTCTCCACTCACAGGCGTGGCGGCTACGCTGGAGCTGGTCAAGCAGGAAGCGGCGGATCGTGGCGAGTCGACGGACGACATTGCGCACGAGTCGTCGTCGGCCAACATGACACTTGCACGCGTAACACTGGCCGAGATGGATGCAGAAGCCAAAAAGGCAGCCAAGGCCGAAGTGAAGCAGCGCGGGCTGGAGGAGTATAAGCCGCACGACAACGCCGAAGCCACACCCGATGCGTACAAGACGCTCTTCCTCGCACGACTCGCATACGACGTGACAGAGAAGGACCTGCACAGGGAGTTTGACATGTACGGTCCCATCGAAACGATCCGTCTGGTTCGGGATCGAGAGGGTAAAAGTCGCGGATACGCATTCATCGCCTACGAGAGGGAACGCGATATGCGCGCAGCATGGAAGGATGCCGAGGGCATCAAAATCAACGGCCGCAGAGTCATGGTCGACGTGGAACGTGGTCGAACCGTCAAAGACTGGAAACCAACCCGTCTCGGCGGAGGTCTCGGTGGCTCAAGTAGGAAACCCAAAAAGGCTCCCGAACCATCCGAACCCGCCCCCGGCCCAGGCTTCGCAGGCGGTGGATTCAGAGGCGCACCAAGAGGCGGCTTCAGAGGCAGAGGTTCCTTCGCACCACGAGGCTCCTACGGACCCCCAAGATCCTTCGCCCCCCAACAAAGATCCTACGACAACGGCTACACCTCCAGACCCTACAATGCTGCCCCACCACAAAACACATCGCGATACAACAACCCAAGAGACAGAGACAGAGACTATCCTGCCTCCTCCTACAATACGCGCCCGTCTTACGACGACCCCCTACCACCCGCAAAACGCGGCCGCTACTGAAACATCTCTCACTCCTGCTGTATCTCCTATATCTGCGTCGCACCCACTCACACTCACAATCTGCACATGCACTGCATCGCGATAAAGAATACCATTTCATCACCACGCACGTCCCGACCGACGTCAGGCTGCACCGACACGTGCTCGGGGGTATCATAAGACTGCCGCGCTGGATTGCGCCGTCTACGCGCGCCTCAACTGCTGCTGTTGCTGCTGCTGTTGTTGTTGTTGCTGTTGCTGCTGCTGCTGGTCGGACCACCTCTGCTGTCCCCCAAAGCCCTGCTGTTGCTGATGCTGTTGCTGTTGCTGATGCTGTTGCTGTTG